TTGGAGGCCCAGGGACAGGTGCGGGGGGCCGGGCCGGCCAGGGTAGCGCGGGTGAGGGCGAGAGGAGGAGACAACCGAGGCAGGGGGGTTCCCACTTTGGTAGAGCGGCCGGCCGGCCTGGGTTAGGGACTAGGTAGGCAGGCAGAAGCTTGGGGCTGAGTGAAGAAGAGAAGCCTGGAGAGGTGGCTGACACCCTGGCCAGCCCCCGCGCCTGATGGAGAAGATGGCCAGAGCCTCAGAGCAGCCACGGAGGGGAGCTGTGGGGTCCCTGGAGGTTTGAGGGGATGGGAACAGAGGGGGAACCCAGGGTGAGAGGAAAGTCCTGGAAAGGTGACAGAGGAACAGTGTACAGGTAGTGGGCAGGGTTAAGGGGAGTCACGACCCGTCTGCCAGGACTGATCTGGCAACTCAGCCAGCCCCTCGAGAAGCCAGGCCGCCTGTCTGCCCACCAGCTGGCACAGATCGCCTCTCCCTAGACACCCAGGAAGGGAGGGCAGTGAGGTTCCTTCAGACCCCAGCCAGCCACTCCAGCTCTACATCCATCTCCCAGCCAGAGGTGCTGCATGAGGGGCCGCAGGGGCGATCGCATGACCATCAACATCCAGGAGCACATGGCCATCAACGTGTGTCCTGGACCCATCAGGCCCATTCGCCAGATCTCGGACTACTTCCCTCGCAGGGGGCCAGGACCAGAGGCTGCTGGCGGCAGGGGCTGCGGGGAAGCCCCAGCTCATCTGGCCCCTCTGGCTCTGGCCCCCCCTGCGGCTCTCCTTGGGGCCACCACGCCCGACGATGGAGCTGAAGTGGACAGCTACGACTCAGATGATACCAGTGAGTCTGGGGGCTCAGCGGGCTTGTGGGAGGGAGCAGCCTCCCGAGTGTGTGTGTGTGTGTGTGTGTGTGTGTGTGTGTGTGTGTGTAGGAGGGTGGGGAGGAGGGAGGACAGTCCTGCCACCACAGCTGCAGTCTGGGTGCAGATTACAGCTTCAGCAAGGCTCAATATTCAATATTTCTGCTGAGACACTCCACCACCCACACAGTCAGTTGCGGCCGAGCCAGGGACCTAGACGCAGGCATGCACATGGCTGCTTAGCCTCTTGCACACACACTTGCACACACACACACACACACACACACACACACACACACACACACACACACACACACACACACACGGGCAGGCCGGTAGAGATGTGGACACATTCTTCTAGCCACTAGGTCTCACATGCTTGACTTGGACCAAAGACTCACCCTACCTCCTCCCTCTTCTCTTCTCTTTTCTGCAGCTGCCCTGGGCACGCTGGAATTTGACCTTCTCTATGATCAGGCTTCCTGCACTCTGCACTGTAGAATCCTCAGGGCCAAGGTGCATCCCTCCTTCCTGGGCTGCTACCCTAGGGTGGGGGCTCCATTGTCCCCCCAACCAGAGCAGACTCCTGCACCTCTGGAACTGTCCTCTGTGGGACTCTAGTCCTGCAGGAGGAGGGAGGAAGGCTTGGGAGTCTAAATACAGCCCCTTTGCACCTCTCCTTCAGGGCCTCAAGCCCATGGACTTCAATGGCCTGGCTGACCCCTACGTAAAGCTGCACCTCCTCCCTGGAGCCTGCAAGGTATGTCTCCTTCCAGGATTGGCTTGTCCTATGGGTCATCCCTCCCAGCCCCCACCTTCAGCCTTTGGGGCCCCAGGGTCCATGCATCAGAGCCCTTTGTCCCCATGCCCCAGGCCAATAAGCTAAAAACTAAGACTCAGAGGAACACACTGAACCCTGTGTGGAACGAGGAGCTGACGTACAGCGGAATCACGGATGATGACATCACTCACAAGGTGCTCAGGTGAGGGCTTTCCCTCCAGCCCAGCACCTCTGGGATGGCTGTCATTCACCCTTTGGCTGGTCCTTCTCCCTGTAACCCATTACACCTGTTAGCAGCACTCCACAATAGTCAGTGGCTGCCCAGCCCCCTCAGCCGCAGGGCCAAACGTTCCCTCTGGTCTTCTAGCAGAGGACTATGGGTTTGGCAGCTGAAGGCCTTGTCAGGGGTGCCGAATGTGCTCTTGGCTTCCTCTGCCCACCTCAATCTTTGATTGGGCCCCAAACCTGCCTCTGGAAAGGTTTCTCTGCTCTCCAAGACCCCTCCTCAGGGCCGCTGGCTTCAGTTGCACCTACACGCCTCAGGCTGCCCGTCCTGTTCCATGTCTACCTGTATTCTCCGAGGAGAAACGTCTTCCAGTCAGGGGACCTGCCCCATCACCCTAAGTGTCAGAAGTACCCCAAAGAGGAATGCGGCCACTGAGTTCAGGTCCGGAGAGACCTCGTCCCTTATTCTTGGGCAATAGGGAGCCACAGAAGGTTTCTTATCCCAGGAGAAGCGTGGTTATCAGAGCTGTTCTACAGAGCTCACCTTGGTGTCAGAAATGGGAGACCAAGGCAGAAGCAGCAAAGTGGCCTCATGTTCCTCAGGGTAGACAATGAAGCCTCAGGGTTGCAGAGGGCAGTTTTTGTTTTGACAGGGGCAGCCCAGGCTAGCCTTGAACTCAGACCCTTCTGCCTCACTCGGCCTTCTTAGCTAAGCGAGGCTCACAGTGCGCCACCACAGCCTGTTATTAGGGAGCGTTTCTTTGCTTTACCTCCTGAGGGATTTAGAAGGTGGGTACGCTCTCACTTTGCAGATGGACAGTTAGGTGACTTGCCCAAAGTCACACAGGTCATAGACAGGGCTGGAATTTCAGCACACCTTCACACCATAGCTACTCACCCCTTAACCAACCCTGTACTGCTGCGTCTGGACAGGCTGGCTCCCTGCTCCAGCAGGAAAGAACGGGGCACCCAAGTCAACCCGGAGTCCTTGGCTGTGTAAGGCAGCTAAACACCCACCGGGGACTACCACTGTGTCTGTGGCCACACCCACCCAGCCAGCCGGCCCTGTGGGGTTCAGCTGGCTCCTGTCCCCAGGTGGGGAATGGAGTTAGAGCTGTGGGGGCTTCCTGTGCAGCTGGGTAATTCCTGATGGCCACAGGGCAGATCCAATAGCCCTTCTCAAGCTTCCACCCACTTTACAGATGAGGTGGCAAATTTAGGGCAGAGCTGGGACTGGTCCAAGGACCTTTTCCTCCCTCCGGAGTGGGGCTCAGATACCCAGGGGCCCTGACCCTGCAGTTCCCTGCCAGGATCTCTGTCTGTGACGAGGACAAGCTGAGCCACAACGAGTTTATCGGGGAGATCCGCGTGCCCCTTCGCCGCCTCAAGCCTTCACAGAAGAAGCATTTTAACATCTGCCTTGAGCGCCAGGTCCCGGTCCGTGGGGGGCTAATGGGTATGGGGGAGGGGATCTGGAGAGGTCAGCTTGCCAGAACCTTTTCTTCGCCCCCCAGCTTCCTTCACCCTCTTCGATGTCTGCAGCGCTGAGGGGCATTTCCTGTTACCTGAAGGAGGTGAGGCACATCCTGGGAGCTCTGTCTGGGTGGGAGAGGCCCTAGACCGACCTCTGACCCCTGCATCCTTTTCTGGCAGCTAGAGCAGGCAGAGCAGGGACCTGGGCTGCTGGAAGAGCGTGGGCGCATCCTGCTGAGTCTCAGCTACAGCTCTAGGCGGCACGGGCTGCTGGTGGGCATCGTTCGCTGTGCCCACCTGGCTGCCATGGATGTTAACGGCTACTCTGACCCTTATGTGAAGACGTGAGCCCTTACCCAAGCCTGACCCCAGCCTAACTGCTCCGGGGCTTAGCCTGTCCCTAACTTCACGGCTCCCCTCCCTCCACAGGTACTTGAGACCAGATGTGGACAAGAAATCCAAGCATAAAACATGTGTAAAGAAGAAGACATTAAACCCAGAATTTAATGAGGTAAACACGACAGGGAGCAGAAATCAAGATGGGCTGGGGACAGCCATGTGGTTAGAAGGCCTGATGAGGCACCACCTGCCTTGTTCTCAGGAATTCTTCTATGAGATGGAACTCTCCACTCTGGCAACCAAGACCCTGGAAGTCACAGTCTGGGACTACGACATTGGCAAATCCAATGACTTCATAGGTGAGTGGAGGGGCCCGCCAGGTGCAGGGAGGGAAGTGAGGCAGGAGAATGGGCACCGATTGGCTCTGCCTGACTTGGGTGTTCTTCAGGTGGTGTGTCTCTGGGGCCAGGCGCCCGGGGAGAGGCGCAGAAGCACTGGAGCGACTGTCTCCATCAGCCGGACACAGCCCTGGAACGCTGGCACACCTTGACCAGCGAGCTGCCCGGGGCTTTCCCTCTGGCCTGAGTGGACAGCAGCTGCCCAGCACAGGCCCTTTGGGCCGGGTCCAGTACCCAACCTTCGCACGAGTGTGTTGCACGTTTACATGGGGTGGGATGCCCCCTGCCCCACACTACCTGTCTTATTTCTGTGAGTCTGTGATGTGGGTCTGTCTTCTTGTGAGGACTGTGGAGAGCTGTGTTCACATATGCAAACTTTTCCTGCCTGACTTGCTGTCACCTGCAAATATGCAACCACCCCATGCACAGGACCATGTGGGGTCTCCTGCCAGTGCCCTGCCCACCCTGCTACTCCTCTCTTGGCCTCTCCAGGCTGCCCGGCCCCTGCTCCACAGGGAGGAGGTCGGATTAGGGGAGATTAGAGGAGGACATTTCCAAAAGAGGAAGGACAAGGACAGAAAGAGCCAACCCTTTAATACAGAGCCTTCGTTAAAAAGTCCCAGCCCTGCTCAGCTGCTCTTCTAAAGGAATGGCCTCCCCAGGGTCTCTGCCTCCCTAAGGTGTGGCAGATCCTCTTGGCCACTCATTTAAATAACTGTCCCCTGGATGGGGCTGGGATGTGAGGGCAGGCCCCTGCCACCTTCCTCGGGGACATTTGTGCATGTTTACGCCTTTTCTGATTGTGTCAGTGGCCGAAGCATGGCAACTGGGCATCAATAAACATCTCTTGAGGAAGTGGGCTCCAGTGTGCTGGCATGGGAGGAACACTGCGCAGGCCTGGCTGGTAGCACGGGGTGGCTACTCTGGGATGTCGATCACCAGGTCATCGTCTCCGTCCAGGGCATCATCCCCGCTGCCTGTATCGCTGAACATCTGCTGAGGGACGGTGCTCAGGATCGTGTGTGGGGGCATCTTGGGAGGAGGCAGGGGGGTCAGGGCTGCCCCAACACTGGCCCCAGAACCCCTGGCAGGGAAGGCCAGTGGCCCACCCACAGGGCAGTCAGGGGGTCCTACAGCCATCTGCAGGGGGGGAGAAACACAAGGAGGGCTTGTCAGATGCACTGGCACTGGGCACTGGCACAACGCCCACTGGAAGGCAGTTCAAGGGGTGGGGAAGCCCCACCGCAGCCCCTCCGTCTCCAGCCATGAAGTGCCTGGGGCGAGGGGCAGTGATGGAGGCGGGATGGGGATGGGGTGAGGGGAGGCTGACAGGGAACCTGACGGAAAAGTTGGGCTCTCCCCTCGCTAGCAAGGCACCCTGGTTGCTCTGTGCCAGCGGTTAAAGCCACATTCAGGACTAGCTCAGAGCACCTTCCTCTTGCCTCTGGAAACCTTGGGTATCACCTGCCACCACTGGTCGGCTCTCCTCCTCCTCCTGTGGGATTCACTAGTTCGTGATGGGCATCACAGGCTATCTGAGCCAGAAGCCTAAGCAGTAGCTTTGGTCCCCAGCTTCTATGGCATTGTGGACGAGCCCCTCCTTGGGACCCCGGCAGCCACCAGCCTGGGCTAGGCCCTCCTCTCAGCTCACCTGGTCTAGGTACCAGCCTCCTAACTGGACTCCCTGCCTTCAGCCTCTCCCAGCTCCAGCTCCTCCTCCACACTGCGGCCAGAGTGGTCACTCTAGAACAAACCTGAGCATGTCACCCTCTGCCTGAGGGTCTGGGCCTGGCTGCCTTCAGGACGATCAGTGCCATGTGCCTAACAGGGCAGCCCCGCTCCAGGCGGCAAGGCCATGCTTTGTCCTCTGAGCTGACACATGGCCTCTGCTCTGCCAGGGCCTCACACATCCTCCCTCAGACTGCTCTCTGGGTACCATGACAGCTCATGTGCCGTGGGCACAAATTGAACACCTACTATGGCCCAGGTAACTCTACCAATAATCTCTACTTCATAGGACTATCCTGGAAAAGAGGTGGGCCACATACCAGAAGAAGGAACTGATGTGTGGAAACGGAAGCTGAAGGAATTGAATGCTGGTCCTCACTGGGCAGCACCCAAGGTGCCCCGGGACTGGGGCAGCAAACAACATCTACGTGTGGTCTCCACCATGGCCTGTGGTCGCTTCTATGCCTGGCCCTGTGGCCTGTTCTCTGCTTCTCAAGGAGTCCCACCTTTACCTCTGCTTGTGCGGTGATGTGAGGGTGCGAGGGTAGGCAGAGCCTCAGGAAACATGGACGGCAGACAGGAGGACCAGCTCTGGGAAGAACCAGGACCCGTGTGCTGGTCTGAATGAGCATGCCCACCCCCATAGGCTCTTATGCTTGAATACTTGGTCCCCAGCTGGTCGAACTAGATTTAAGAAGTCGGCCTTGTTGGAGGAGGTGTGTCACTGGGTGGGCTTTGACTTTCCAAAGCCTTCACTCTTCTCAGCTCAGATGCTCTCATCCTCCCACCTCTGCCTCATGGACACTAACCCTCTCAAATCATAAGCCCCAAATAAACACTAGAGGTTGCCTTGGTCATGGTGTCACAGCAATAGAAAGGTAACCGAGACAACTCCCATGTGCACGGAGAAGCAGATGCATGCGCACATGACTAAGGAGGGCAGCTCCATGAGGACCAGGCCTCTGCTGGCTCCCCCTGTATCACCACCCTGCTCACTAGGAACTGCCATAACCAGGATTTCCTCAGTATGACCAAAACCAGCCAATGTGGCTCTATAAGCTGCCAGGGCCCAGGCACTGGCTAGGCGATGTTCTCCATCCCTCACTCATTTGAGCCTCTCATGCCCTCCATGACTGAGACAGTTCAGTGACAGGCCCACGGTCACATGGTGAGTATGGGAAAGAGCTGGGATTCACACCCAGCTGAGGCTAAAGCTCCAGCATTTGTGTTTGCCTTGGCCTTCAGTATCTCACCTCTGTTCACAGGCCCTGCAGTGACGGGTGCCTTCTGACTAAGTCAGTGTCATCTGCCATCCCTGTCATATGTGAACCTCCCTCACGTTGTTCCTCTTTCCCCTCCCACTGCCACCTCAGCTGGGACCAGCCTGATCTTACTGACCCTGTGCTCCGACATTAGCCCTTCCCTGATCCTCCCCACGCCCCACCTAGAGCAGTTGACCCTAGTCTCTCCCTACGAACCCAGTCACCACACCTAAACATGCCGAACCCCTTACCTGTCCTGAAGGCTAGAAGCAGAATCTCTCAGGAAGACCCATGTGTTCTACTGCTTCCCCTAGTGCTAGGGTCAAACTTAGGGCCTTGAAAATGCCAGGCAAGAACTACTACTGAGCCACATGCCGAGTCCCCGGAGTTCATGATTAATCCCCAGGAGCTGAGTGCAGGAGGCTGTGAGCTGTTTGATGTGAGCTTCTGAACTTGGGCCCCCTGAAGAGCAGCAAACAGTCTTAACCACTGGGTCATTTCTCTAACCCCTGGAATTCATTCATTCATTCACCCTTTTATTTGTTTTTTTCTCTCCCTCCCCACCCCCCCTTTCTTTGAGGATATAGCCCTGGCTGGCCTAGAATTTACTATGTAGACCAGGATAGCCTCAGACTCATAGTCCTCTGCCTCCCAAGAGTTGGGATTAAAGGCATGCGCCACTATGCCAGCAGAATTCACACTCTCCGCTACATAAGCACACTCTCTGACTCTGCTTGTGGTGTGAGAGGACCCAGAGCTGTCAGCCTGGGCCTACTCAACCTTGCCCCCCAGCTGACGGTCATTCCCATCTTCTTCCAACTTTGGCTCACTTCTCATCACTCCTGGGGCTTCATGTTCAGCCTTCTTCCCTCTCCAGCTCTGCAGCCCTACGAAGCCTCAGCTCACACGGGCCACTGTCTAGTTAGCACTTCCAGATGCCCTCTTAACAAGTCCAAGGCCACTTCTCATCTCTCTTCTAAAATCAGCTTCTCCCATCCACTTCTTCACAAGTCAGGGCACAGGCCTGGAATCTTTCTGGGTTCCCTCCTCCCTCTCACAGCCAAACTGCGTCTCTGAGGAGACGCTGCAGCCCATCTTAGACATGGATCCCTGGGGCTCTCTCCTGGGTTCCTGTAGTCACTTCCTTCCTACCATCCTGACTCCTCCAGCCCCTCTACCCAGGCCTGTCCACACAGTCATGTTGCCCATGTGTCTAAAATACAAGTTGAACTAGACCCTGCCCTGCTCACCTTGCCCGAGTGGCTCTCACTCCATTCCGGTATAAGCCCTAGTCTCTTGCACCTTAAAGCCCTATGTGCTTCCCTCAATGACTAGGATAAAGGGCAGCCAGCATGTTCTGTTCCTCCTTGTCTTTCAACAAGCATGCTACTAGACTGAAACTCTTTCCCAAACACCTCATGGCTTGCTTCCTGTATCCAGTCAATAGCACCCTAGATTATGCACTTCAAAAAATTCCATCACTCTCTTCATTTTCTCTACTAGGGTCAATCCATCTGATTTATCTTCTGCCAATTTTGCTGGAACAGGAGCTCTGTATAAGGGTTTAGCTGCCTGTTTGTTATGAGCTGCAGCACTCCAGATAGGTTCTCAACACAGGAGGTGTTCCATGAACACTTGTTGGTTTTACCTGGTCTGATCACTTTAAGTCTAGGATACTTTCCCGAAGTCACACTGTTCTGAACTGGGGAGCCTTGACTCCACACCACAGTCCCAGCCCCCATAGTGCCCAGGACCTGCACAAACACGCTTCACTCCAGCCACGCTGCAGGGCCTGGTTGTAGAGCCAGGTTGTGAGACATGACCTCAAGCAGCCTAACTTGGGAAGCCTTCCAAGCCTGATTCTGCCACTGCCAGTGACCTTCCGTGCCTAGCCTTGGGCTGAGCCTTCACATTTCAAACCAATCCTTCCAACTGTGGTATCAGCTGGGGATGCAGCCCAGCTGGTAGGGCGCTTGCCCGACAACACGCACGAAGCCCTGGCCCCAACCCTCAGCACTGCGTAGAGCAGATGTGGTGAGCACGCGCCTGTAATCCTGGCACTTGGAGAGTGGAGGCAGGAGAACCAAGAGTTCAAGGTCATCCTACTAGCTTGTGCTACGAGGGGCCCTTTCTCAAACAGAACAAAACACCCAGTCTCTGTGCAGGCCTCTCTTAAGCTTCCTTTAGATGGATGTCCTGCCTTTGTGGCCCCTCCCTAGAGTCCCCACATCAGGGTACCTTGAGTTTCCGGGGTAGGCGGGGCCGTTTCTCCAGCTTGGGCCTCAGGGGGCTGGGCTCAGGCAGCTGCAGGGCCAGGTAGTCAGAAGGGAATGGGGGGTAAGGGGGAGAAGCCAGCTGCAGGTGGGAGTAGGAAGATGGAGATGGGAAATGGAGCAGGTCAAGGCGAGGGGCGAAGGGGAGAAATGCACACAGGAGAATGGAAAAACAAAAGAGATGCTGATGAGTGTGGCTCCCAGGGCTCCCGGACGGACGGACGGACGGACGGACGGGGAGGGACAGCAGCAGGACTGCCGGGTCTGCCCCAGTCCTGCGCAGGAGAGAGGCAGGCAGCCTGACTCACACCCTCCAAAGGTCACTTGCTGCCACATGTGGACACGTTCTGGGTTGGGAGGCCTCGCTCTGAGACCTGGCCCCTGTGCCCCAATGCCCCACTGTATTCCCGGCATGGGAGCGCACTACTTCCAGGTCTTGATCCCAACTCACCGAGCTCAGATACGGGGAGGGAGCTCCAGAGGTCTGCAGGGGAAATCCTGTTGAAGGAGGCAAGGAGAGGCTGGAAGGGGATGGGGTACCCCCCATCGGAGGGCTTCTCTTCCTAGAGAAGGGATAGGGAGAGGGGTCAGAGGCAGCTGGAAAGCCCACATCTCCCACCCCTGCCCTGGAAGATGATGGCTCCTTCTTACCTCTTGGGGGCTGGTGTGTCAGACAACTTGGGCGTCCCCTCTGTCTCACTGTTGTCTGAAGATGCAGTGGCATCTGAATCTGTGGGGAGGGCTGGTCAGTGGGGTGGTAGAGTCTCCCAGTCCACCTCAAAGACTGTAAGCTCAACACTCCAGAAGGGCGCGAGGGAAGGAGCCTTCCCAGTTGGCACACATGCAAGCATGTGATTCTGGGGAGTCCTTCGGTTCTCACACCCACTTCCTACTTAGGTACCCATGCCCATGGCACACGTGCCAACACATGCCATATGCTAGGCTCCTATACGTACTCCTGGTCTTTTTAAGCACAGAAAGGGGAAGGGATGCAAATCACATCTGCTTTCCAGATGGCCTCACCAAGCTCAGAAGGTATGTATGGAACCTGAGCTCAGGTCTGTGATCTTTGACCATCTTAGGTCACTCTTTAATGTGCCTCTAAGTAACTTTCAGCTTCTGCTCCATTTTCCTCATTCAGGGACCCACTAAAGCACACCTTAAAACTCTATTTTCTTCCTCTCCTCAAGATCTCAACTGCCACAAGTTCAGGCCACCAACATGTCAAAATCACCTGCTCAGCCACCTCAGCACTGTCTCCCAACTACTGTCCAACCCAATGGAACAACTCTGTCCACGGGCTTTAGCAGTGTCTCCTACCTGTCTTCAGTCCACCTTAAGGAAGACTAAAGGACTCGCCCCAGGGCCTCCCGCACTCTGGCTAATTGCTTTACCTCAGAACTGCAATCAAGGCCTCCAAGAGTACTCTTCACAGAGGCAGGCCCTCATTCTTCAAAAGGAGATCTATTTCCTAGCTCAGTGTTCTTTCTAGAAGGCTTGCCTTTCACTTAGAAATCACTGTATTACTCAAATCCTTGTTTTATATTTGAGACACAGTCTCAATATATGTGTATCCCTGGCTGGCCTCGAACTCAGGGAGATCTTCCTGCTATTGTTTCCCTAATATAGTACTCCTTTATTTAGGTGTTTGTGTGTGAGTGTATGTGTGTGCACCATGCTAATGCCCAAGCCTGAGGGAGTCAGAAGAAGGCATTCAACCAACCCCCCCCCCCCCCCGAATAGAGTGAGGTAGTTGTGAGCTGCCATGTAGGTGCTAGGAACCGAACCTAGGTCTTTTCCAAGAGCAGCAGGTGCTCGAAACTACAGAGCCATCTCTTTAGCTCTTTGGGTGCAATGTAAAGTTACTTGTTAAAAAATATTTAAGCTGGGCCGGGCACTGGTGGCGCATGCCTTTAATCCCAGCATTCGGGAGGCAGAGGCAGGTGGATCTCTGAGTTTGAGGCCAGCCTGTCTACAGAGTGAGTTCCAGGACAACAAGGACTACACAGAGAAACCCTGTCTTGGGAGAAAAAAAGTTAAGTTGGAAAAATAGTAACCTGTGCTTCTGTCCCTTTGTGCACACCAACCTGGAATAATCTATCACATTTTCACCTAGAAAGCTCCAGCTCCTTCTTCCCACGTCAACTGTTGCTTCAGTTCCTAAAAACCCCTTAAAATGGCTTTTTCTCATTCTTACACAGTCCAGACACTGCATGCTTCTGTGTGATTTACAAGCAGCTAGAATGACTTTAACACTTGGCTTGTTGTTATTTTTAGTCAGGATCTCTGTAATCCCGGTTGGTCTGGAACTCAATATGTAGACTAGGCTGGCTGCTAAATTGGTGATTCTCCTGCCTCAGCCTCCTAAATGCAAAAATACAGGCATGTTCCACTTTGCCCAACTGGCTTTCATTTATTTGTTTTTTTGAGGCAGAGTCTTACTTCGCAGCTCAAGTTTGCAAACTTGGAACTTGGAGCTATCCTCCTGCCTCATCCTCACAGTGCTGGGATTATAGGTATAGGGTACCATGCCCAGGTGGCTTTTGCATTTGTAGCTTTTTATTTTTACTTATTTAGAAATGGGTATTATGTAGCTGAGGTTGGCCTTGAACTTCTGGTCCTCCTCCTTTCTCTACCTCCCAAGGAGAGCTGGGATTAAAGGCCTGTACTACCACGTCTTGCTTTTCAACACACCCCACACACTCCCCATTTTTGAAACATGGTCTCATTATATAGCCAGGTTGGAACTCATTTATCTTTTTTTTTTAATTATACTTACTTATTTGTGTGTACATGGTACACGCAGACCGAGAACAGCCTAAGGGAGCCATTCTCTCCTACAGTGTGGGGCCTGGGGATTGACTCAAGTAGTCAGGTTCAGTAGCAAGTGCCTCTGCTCAATACACCATCTCAAAAGACGCTGGGTGAGGGGCTGGAGGGAAGGCTCGGTAGTTAAGGGCACTGGCTTCTCTTCCAAGTACTCCCCTCACTGACCACAAGCATTTATAACTCCTTTTAAGAGATCCAATGCCCTCTTCTGGCCTCCAGAGGGACTGCATGTACACGGTATACAGACGTAGATGCAGGCAAAACACCCATACCCATAAAAATAAATGTCTTTTAAAAAACAAAGGAAGCTGCAGGGGTGTGGTGGTGCTGTGTGTGGTGGTACAAGTACGGAATCCCAGCGCTGCAGAGGCTGAGGGGGAAGAACTGTGAGTTTGGGACCAAGTAAGTACAAATGAAGAACACATTTCAAAAAAATGTGAAAAAAATAAAGGCTATGAAACTATATAAAATTCAAACTGTAATGTTCACAAATAACGCTCTAATAAAACACAGCCACTTGTTTATTAATATGCTGGCTATGGCTGTTTTCACATGAGCAATGCAGTTTGCTTCAAAGATAATATTTTACAAAACCCAAAATATTGACCCATTTGCAAAGGAAATGATATTATCAACCCCTGTTATACCATAATTACTACCATTTAATCCTGTTTAAAATTTCATCACTCTCAGTATCACTTAAAACTCTAGTTTGTCTCTTTCAAACAATTCCAGTGACTTTATTACCATCACTGTTAGTGTGTGTGCACTGTTAGTGTGTTTGTGCGGACACCCACAGGCCAGGGCAAGGGCTGTGCGCTTAGAGGACAACTTTCAGGAGTTTTTTTCCTCCTTTGTTGGTTGTTTGTTTGCTTTTGTTTTTTGTTATTTCAAGACTGATTTTCTCTGTGTAGTTTTGGGGCCTGTCCTGGATCTCGCTCTGTAGACCAGCCTGGCCTTGAACTCACAGAGATCCACCTGCCTCTGCCTCTGAGTGCTGGGATTAAAGGTGTGCACCACCACCGCCTGGCTTGTAGGTTTGTTTTTAAAGACTGGGCCTCACTCATGGACCTTATGCTACTGCCTCTTGAGTGCTGGGATTACAGGCATGGGGTAGTACGCCTTTCTAGTTTATTTTTTCACTTATTACACATTACAGGGATATAAATGACAAATGGCCAGGGGCTTCCTCCATTCTGCCAGCCTGTGCCAAGCACAGCGCCTGGGACACAGTGGATAAATAAATACTTAAGACTCTCTGGGCATGGTGGCATGTGCCTTTGATCCCAGTACTTGGGAGGCAGAGGCAGGTGGATTTCTGAGTTCGAGGCCAGCCTGGTCTACAGAGTGAATTCCAGGAAATCCAGGGCTACACAGAGAATAGAAAGGAAAAAAAGAGGAGGTGGGGAAGTAAGGGGAGAGGGAGAAAGGAAGGCAGGGGCGGCCGGCGAAGGCCAGCAACAAGGCTTAAGAACTACTGGAGGGCCGCACCAGCTTCCACATCCCAAGAGGATGGATGGACCCAGGAGCAAGTGTTTAAAGTGCCAGTATCTCATGTCTTCCTGCAAATGTGCATGACTTTGCTCACCGGAAGAATCTTCATCCACGTTCTCATACTGCAGAAGTCGATCTAGAAGGAAACTGGGAGACGCGGGAAACAGAATGATTATCCTCATTTCAGCAATGTTCCCTGGCTAGACAGCTATCTAGTTCCCCCTAGAAGGCCCCCTGGATCCCCCTAGGAGTGCATGCATTTGTGGTCCCGGTCCAGGATGGAGAGAGAACGAGGATCCCCTAGGTGTAGCATCGCCCGTGTCCCTCAACAAACCTTACCTCTTGTCCCGGGAAACCTTCAGCAATTTCCTCTGCGCCTTCCTGAGCTCCTCCTGGAAGCACTCGTGTTCCTGTACCGGACAGGGAGGGTGCTGAGCTAGGAGCAATCCGCAAAAGGCCCGGAACCCGGAGACATCGCCCCCGACCCACCCCCTTTCCCACATGGGTAAACTGAGGTCCTCTCAGCTCTAGGCCGCACACACCACAACTTCCCCACACCAGCACTCACGTAAATGAGGAACTTGAGTTTCCGCTTCAGATTCCTGTATTTCTTTTTGTAGTCCACTTCGCCGTCCGCTGGTCCGTTCATGACCCGCCTGGGAATATCGCCCCAGAGTACGGTCCCGCTACCCGGAGCCAAGTCGGCCCGGCCTCTTAGACTTCCACTTCCGGAGACCTGGCAACGCCGCGCGAGGCGGACTACAACTCCCGGCGTGCCCCGCGCGCAGGGAGCGCCTCCCGCCGCCCGCCTTCAGGGGAGGAACGCGGCTTCCAGGGGGTCGCGGTTCGCTGAGGTCACAGAGGAGCCGGACGCGGAGGGGCGCAGCTACTGGTTCTAAACTTATTTGGAGTCCTAGGAGAACCAGAAATTCAGAGTGTGGGCGAGGATACCCTTCCCCTTCTGCCTTCCGCAACAGCGGAGACCGAACTTGGCGACCCTGACTCCAGGGCGGTGCGGGGTCGGTGAGGTCACACCCGGAGATTTCCGGGGGAGTCGGCTCCTAGTGAGACTTTTAATGAGTCGTCTTAAGGAAGAGCAGAAACCTCGAGGGCCACCAACTGCCTAGGGGCAGCAGGACCCGGCAAGGTTCGCGGTCCCAGCTCCAAGCCGGCGGCCCCGCCCCTCGCAGAGCCGCCTCCCTGCGCGTGCGCACTGAGGGCGGCCCGGAAGAAAAAAAGGCGGGAGCCACCAATCCGCGGAGGCGCAAAATGGCGCCGGGAGGTGAGGTTCCTGCGCTCACGCGCGGCTTCTTCCGAGCTTGCCCTGGCCTCGGGGGCGTAGGGTATTAGAGTCAGGGGTGGACTGGGACTCCTGTCTTGGCACGTGTCTGTGTGGCACGGTCACGCACTCCACGGTGCCACTTAGACGTTTGAACCGCGTGGGCCGGGATCACCTTGAACCCGAGGAGAAGCAGGCGTGGAAGTGGCTGGCAGAGGAAGAGCTGCTGCGGATGCAGGTGTGGGCGTGCGCCTGGGCCAGGCGAGACAGGGATTGTTGCTGAGGGGTTGGGACAGGACACAGTCTTGCTTCGGTTTGCCCTCATGCTGCACCCACAGGCGGATGCTGGCACCGGGGAAGGGAAGCTAGACTTTATCAGAGGGAAGAGGTCTCCGTCTCCCCGCGGTGACCCCGAGAGAAAAAGGTTCCGCTTCAGTTCAGAGTCAGGTTAGTGCCGCCCCCCTCCTGTCTGCGCCCCTGGTTTCTCCAGAAGGCAGTGTGCATGTTCTGCATTGCCAGGCAGTCGATGGGGGCAAGCACCGAGTCAGGGACCAGGGAGCCCCAGCTCTGCTGCCTGCAGCTTTCCTCCACTCCTGACTCGAGCGGAGCTAGAAGTACCCCATCCCGACTGGCAGGGGCAGGAGGACCTATCCCAGCCCCGTCCCCATGTTCCAGACTCCAGCTCTACACCACCCAGCCCAGACTGCTCAGGACCCCCAACCAAGAACAGCACCACCAAGAAGTCATGTTCCAGGAGAGCCTTAAAGGAAGAAGCAGTTGAGAGCACAGATGAAGAGCAGCCAACAGCCCGGGCTGCCAAGATGGGACTAGAGGAGAGCAGTGAGGAGGAAGGGGAGGGTCCCGTCAGGGCAAGGAAGGTCTGGAAGGGAGGGAACACCGAGGAAGAGGATGCTGTCAAAAAGGCACGGAAGGGGAGGGCTAAGAAGCAAGCTGGGGCCAAGAACAAGCGAGCACCGGGCCGAGCGGCAGCCAGGAAGCAGCAGGGCAGGGGAGAAAGTGAGAGCGGTGAGGAAGAGGCTGTGCAGGGGGGAGGCACGGCTGCTGACCGCCACAGGGAAAGCGAAGACAGCGACGAGGAGACCCTAGCCAAGAAGAGGGGGCACCGGGGACCCAGACCGAGGGGCAGCAACGGGCAGAGGGTGAGCTACAAGCAGAAAGCGGCAGGCTCGGGAGACAGTGAGGACGAGAAGGGACTGGGGGCGGGAAGTAGTGGGGACAGCAGTGGGGAGGAAGGAGGGCGCTCCCCGAGGAAAAGGAGCAAGGACAGGGCCCAGACTGCGAGTGGGAGAAGGCAGAGTGCGAGCAGTGAGGACGGGGAAGGCAGCACACAGGAGCTGGCCACTGCGGGAGGAACTGCAGAGACGCGCACACCAGACGGCACTGATGGTGAGAGCACCGGCCAGGCAGGAGAGAGCGCCGGAGAGGAGAGGAAGAACCGCTCCTCCAAGAAGACCTCCAAGAAAGGCAAGGCACGAAGTTCCTCTTCCTCATCAGATTCCAGCCCAGAGCCCACCAGCCAGAAGGTGAGAGGGCATGCCAGGTGGGTGGCCTCCTGGTGAAGAGGCTGGGCCTTGAGCCGCACATTCCTTCTTAGGCTGGGTCTCGTCGTGCAGAGGACCATCCAGCTGTGGTGAGACTAAAGCGTTATATTCGGGCTTGTGGTGCCCATCGAAACTACAAGAAGCTGCTGGGCTCCTGTCGCTCCCACAAGGAGCGCCTGAGTGTCCTCAGGGCTGAGCTGGAAGCGCTGGGCATGAAGGGTGAGACTGGTATGCCCGAGAGCTGCTGGAGGGCCTGGGCACTGGGGAAGAGAGGCTCACCAGCCACTTCTCTCCAGGCAGTCCTTCCTTGGAGAAGTGTCGGGCCCTGAAGGAGCAGCGAGAAGAGGCAGCTGAGGTGGCTTCCTTGGATGTTGCCAATATCATCAGCAGTTCAGGTAAGGAATTTCCTCTTCAGGAAAGGAAGAGGCCGGGGTCAGATAACTAATGTTCTTCCCCCACCTCCCAGGCCGATCACGAAGAAGTAATGCCTGGAACCCTTCAGGGGAAGGAATCCCCCCAGGGGAGCTTTATCGCCGAACCCTGGACTCAGAAGAGGAGCGACCACGCCAGGCACCCCCAGACTGGTCCCATATGCGGGGCATCATCAGCAGTGATGGCGAGAGCAGCTGAACTCCATGCCCAAGGGGACCTTGCCCTGTTACACAAAGAGCCTGTGGCCCTGAAGCAGCTTCTGAAGAGAGCTAAGTTGCTGGCACAGCACTCAATTCCTGTTCTCTAAGGTTGTTTTGGGGGTTGGTTTTTTGTTTTGTTTTGTTTTGTTTTGAGAGTCAATAAAGTAATGTTTGTAATTACTTCATCGTACCTGGTCCTCAACTCTCATGCCCTGTCTGTCCTTTGGGGCCAAGACATCAGGAAGTTGCTCTACCAGCTGGTAGTCTAACTCTGTCTTACAGATTCCCAGTTGCCCCAGTCCCTGGCCCGCCATCCAGTCCTCACCAGGCTGTATCAGAGGACATGGCTGTTCCGTCTTCCAGTGTGACCAGGTGGTTTCTCTAGTCAAACTGGCCTGACCAACGTGAAGCTTAACACCCGCTCCCGCCCCCATCCCCAGCTCAGCTCATCATCCTTCCCCACAGCCTCCGAAAGGTGGGTCGAGTAGACCTGACTGACCAATCCAAGCATGGCGAGCCTCTGCAGAATCCAGTGTCCAGGCGGGCATCCAGTAAGATACAGACCCGGGCTGCTGGGGAGCGTGCACCAAGGCTCTCCGAGAAGCTTCAAACCCAGAGCAAAGCAGGATTTGAGGGGTCAACAAGCTGACCACCTCCCAGTCATACATGCAGTAATGAAAATTCCTCGAGCTTTTCATCACGTGACCCAATGACACACAAGGAACACTGGCTTGCTACTCGTCACACGCCTTACACAGAAAGGGAGAAGTCCTGGGTCTGTTAGAATAACCAACAGTTTATTAAAAGCTTGCCCTAGGGCTCTGTGCCAGCCCCTAGCCGAGAGGGGCTCCCAGGACTGCTCCAGGCTCGGCAGCAGCCCTTTCCAAGGTCCTTCCCTTGTCCCCCGCCCCAGCCCTGACCCCAATTAAAAAAAAAAAAATGACAAGACGGCACAGGACGTCAGACAGCAACAGGAGAATGGTGAAACCCAGGCGTCCTGACTTCAAGAGCCCCATCCTTCTGGAGGAAGGCTCCTCCCATCCTTCTCGCCCTGGGCACCACACCTGCTCTGCCATATCCAGATTTGGGGACCCGTTGTCCCCAGATCATGGCCCATCACAAGGGTTGTATAGTTCTCTGAATATAATATATCTAGACCCACCCTTCCCCTCCCCCAGGGGACCAGATGAATATTTGACACTCACAGTTCCCACCTTTTGTAGGTGGTGATGGAGAGAGACCCTGGCACCATGGTGGGGAGGCAGGGCTCCTGGTCAGCCTTGGGGCACCAATGCCCAAGCTGGCCTGGGCTCACTGGCCAGCCCCAAGAAGCTCATGAGATGTGGAGGTCTGATGGGGGAGCTGGAGACAACGTCCTGTCCCACCACCACTGGGTAGGCTTCAGCACACTGCCTGTAGGCTCAGGCACCACCCACTCCCACCTTGCCCTGTTCCTCTGCTCACCACCCTACACTTCAGGAATAGAAGTGGGAGGAGCCGTTGAGGATATGGGAAGCAACACTGGTGCTCCGGCTCAGCGGGCCTGGTACTGCAGCAGGTGGGCCCACGTTCTCACTGCTGCTGCCCCCCGATGCCGCCCGCCTCAGAGGTTGAGGGCTGTTTCTTAGCAACAGCAGAGCCCCTCCACGGGGTGTTCCACTTTGTGTTGGGGGCCCTAGCCAATTTGGAGGCCCCGGGGGAGCCAGCAGAGCTGGCTGACGCCAAGCTGGTGGGGGCATGCCTGGTGGAGGCGGGCCATGGCTCCAGTGGGCCCCAGAACGGGGAACTGGACGGGAGGGCCAGGCAGGGGCTGGGGGTGGAGCTGGATAGCCCTGGGCAGCAGCTTCGGCTGGAATGCCCCCTAGAGCCATGCTGGAGAAGCCCAGCCTCATGCTCTCAGCATCAAAGGCCTCAATCTCACGGGCCTGCCGCTCAAGCAAACTCCGGATGCGCTCAGAACGCCCCGTTTGCAGGGCCAGCAGCTCTTCTTCCACCTGGGACACCCAAAACAGGGGTGAGAGTCCTGGAATGGAGAACCCCTTTCCCTTTCCCATCTTGGGGGGCAAGCCCCTTACCCGTTGCTCCAGCAGCGCCCGCCTCAGTGCTACCCTCTGTTCCAGCTCCCTCAGCTCCCGCTCGTGCTGACTTTCTGTGCGGATCTTGATCTTGCTCTGGTAAGCATTGAGCAGCTCCAGCTCCTGCTGGAGCTGCTGCCGGAGGGCCTGAAACTCTGCTTCTTGGGTCTCATCAAGCCGGAGCTGGAGGACAGGGAGAAGAGGGTTTAGGGACCTCCTCCTCTGTCCCCACCATCCTCCCCTGCCCCAGTAGGCCTGGCCCTAAGGTGGCAAGGAGCGGCAGTCTCAACCTCTATCAGAATGGAAGATGGTCATACCCTGTGGACAGCAATTACACTTGCAGGAATCTATCCCCCAGGTATACTTGCACATTGCTCGAAGTGTTCACGGAAGCGCTGTGATAGCAAAATGCTGGAAACAACCTAAATGTCCACCAATAAGGGATGGGTTAAATAAATTATGGTACAGCCATTCCATGGAAAATTCTATACTGTATAAAAATGAGATGTGATATGTGTGCTGACATGGAATGATGTCCAAGAAATAACTGGGTGGAAAAGGGAAGTCAGAAAACGATGTCAAGTCTGATTCTAATGTGTTTAAAATTTTTATGTAATTTTCCAGATACTACGAAAGTTAATCACTACAAAATTACCTCTGAGGGGTGGCACTGAGTGGGAATGGGGCCCTCTAGCTCTTTGGACTCAATGTGCGTTTGAAGCAGCCCACTCCAGTGCTGTGTACAGTTTTCCTAAGAGCAACCTTCCAGATTGCTGAAGTCTGAGTAAAAGGTGGCCTGAGAGCCACTCGCTGTAATCGGCTCCCCTGCTCCCTGTTCACACAGAGTAAACTCAGGTCCAGAAAAAAATATTACAGCCATTATTTCCCTTGGTGTTTCTTGGCAGAGCAGGCAGGATGACTTTGTTAAGACATTAGGAAAATAGTAAGAGAAATAATAAACCACTGAGAAGAATATGAAATAAAACCACTATGAAGTAAAAGAACCCCCGAGTGTCCTGAGTCCAAAGTTCTGTTCACACCTCCCACCTTCCTTTGCCACGACAAAGTTCAAAGCAAAGACCAGCCTCCAGTCTCCCTCCCAGACCCCAGGCCTCACCGCCTGTGAGCTGAGCATCTCTGAAATGGACTGGTCGTACTGCTCGGCCAGGATCGCCAGCTTGCGCGTCTGTTCCTCCTTGAGCCGCTTAAGGAGGCTCTTGTGCTGAGCCTTGGGCGTGGTCTCCAGCAAGTGTGCCCGAAGAGCCTTGTACTGGCGCGTCTGGATCTTACACGTTTCCTGGAACTGCTTCTTGATCTGCAGCTCCTTTGACTGTGCAGTGAACGGATCGAGGGGAAACGGGGCAGGGGAGGAGGAGGAGGAGGAGGAGGAGGAGGAGGAGGAGGAGGAAGAGGAACAACGAGGGGAAGGAAGAAAAGGAGGAAGGAGACAGAAGCAGAGACAGGGAGAGGGAGAGAAACAGAAAACATGTTAGACAGAGGGGGCGGGGGGAGCTGTACACAGACAGACACGGAGAGATGGAGCTGTTGAGAGGTCAAGAACATCTCCACGGGCAAGGGAGGCAGAGAAACAAGAGGTTCCGAGAGGACGTCAGAGTTGCATGGATGTCACAGACAGGGAGCCGAGAATCTTCACAGAGGACTGCGTACACAAAAGCTCTGAGCATGCAGAGGGAGGGAGAAACATCACCCTGGGATGGAAGCATGTGATCAACGTTTAGGAATGTCCAGACTGAGTGAGAGACCGGGGCACACAACACTGACGAAAGGGCAATACAACCAAGGGCAGGCAGAGGAAGCCCAGGTCCAGCACCTCAGGGAAGGCAGGAAGAAGCACTGTGCTGAGGGATGGGTAAGAGGCCACCCCAGTTAGGTCACAGAAGGGGAAGGGCAGCAGGAGTTGGCCAGAAAAGGTCTGAGAAGTTCCACTGGGAGCAGCTGCCACCCTGACGAGAGCCACATATTAGCCCAGCCCAACATACTTCGTCCCCACTCCACGCCCACAGCAATCCCGGGCCTCTAGTTGGCACATTCTACCTGGTCCCAACTCACCACCCTCGACTGTAGAGGGTCTGCTGTCCCAGCCCCCAGCCCTGTAGACTAATGCCTGACCCAGGTGACAGACGCAGCTCCAAATCATGTAGGCAATGAGTTCACAGTAAAGGAAGGGGCAAAGAAACCAAAAGACTTTTACCCTACGTATTCTCTGGAAGGGTCTCACAATCGGAGAACTGTGAGATCAGGAAGCTCTGTGGAAGCTCCCTCCACAGGGGCTCAGCCCAGAGCTGGTTGTGGTCATGGTGCAATGAAACTATGAAGGCAGAGGATGAGGCTGAGGAGTGAAGGGCGTGAAGACAACGGAGATGGGGTGAGAGGTCATGGAGCTGAGGGCCAAGGGTCCAGATTCGGGGCAAACCAGGGAGGCTAGGCGGCAGGACAAAGCAGACAGAGGCAGCCTGGGCCAAAGGTATAGTTCCGCTCAGATATTTTATTGTGTTTTTCTTTTCTTTTTTCTTTTTTTTTCTTTTTGGTGGAGGGGGAAGGGGACAGGTTGGAAGGGAGACAGAAAAACAAAATCAAAGAGGGGAAAAAACCCCATGACTTCCCTCCCTGCCACCCCTGGCCCCAGGCCTGAGCCGATGAGGGTGAGGATGAGCACACACACAGCAGGGAACAGCAATAACTTAGGGGACTGGGGGAACACAGAGTGTCATTTCTGGACTCCACAGTAGAGGAGGCTGCCTGTCTCGAGATCTCTGGGGCTGGGACTGGACCTGGGGAAACATACTGAGGAAGAAAGGTCAGAGGGGAGGAGAGACTGGAGAAACTTCACTGAGTCGTGGGAGATAAAGTGCTCAATGCCCTATATTTGGGTGGAGGGTTGAACTGGTTACCTCCAGGGAGGCAGGGCCCTGCGGGTCTGAGCTCTCCGCCCAGCCACAGCCCCTGGTGGTAGCTGTCGGGAAGCAGAGAGCCCAAGACGGCGCTGGCTGCGGGGTAGCAGCCGAGGGATACGACTGGGCCGTTCGCCCTTAAGCAGGCCCCAGCTGGCTAGTGTGTGAATAGCCCAGGGGGGTAAGCAAGAGG